GGGGGGGGCGCTGTATTTAGCCTTTGCCTGCGATGAAGCAGACCCCTTGACGAGGTGAAACGGTCCGTTTCATGAAGCTTTCACTTTAAAAATGTCCACCTGCGCTAGTTCCAGTTTTGCCCATGAAAGGAATTCTCGGGCGAGAAGGAAAAAGAACAAAACAAAACTTAGGCCAAAAAGGAGTCGGGAGTCGGGAACCGAGCCCCCCGTTTGTTCGGAGCCCGCAAGTGGAACGGGGGAGGGGGGGCGGGTGTCAGCCAGCCTCGTGCCGGGGCNNNNCAGCCAGCCTCGTGCCGGGGCTGCGGTCTCGGGGGCCCCGAGCGCATTAACATCGGGCTTAATGATGTTATTAGGCGCTCGCCTGCCGCTAGGTCGGGGTGTACAGTCCTCTGGGGACATGAGTGAGACCCCAGTAGCAGCCTCCTGCCGCTGATCCTCAGAGAATTAGGTAAGTTGTGAAGAACAACCCTGCCAGCGGCAGGCGGGCGGAGAGGAGTTTGTCGACTGGGAAACAATGGAAGCACTTGGGCCGCGCTCGGGGCTTTGACAAAGAAGGGAGAGAAAGGGCTCGTCTCTGGACTGCATGAATGTCCGTGGGCACTCGGGGCAGGCAATATAAAAAAAAAGACAATTACATATGTGAGTTTGTTTGTTAGTTTTTATTTTTCAAACCAACTTCGTGGAAAAATAATCTTAAGACTATTTCACTTCTTGTTTTTGTGTATTTCACCTTTCTGTTTTTTAAAGCACAACGCCAATTTATTAACTCACAATGAGTAATAAAATCACCAACTGGAACAAATTGCATGTGTAGGCTGGTCAGTGCATTATCTCCCAGCAGAAAAATCTATATGGGAAGCCAGAATATAATTACAAGGCTATTTGATTAATATGGAGTCAGAACAAGGGGATTAGTTAAATTCAATGATTAGCTCATTAAACCCTGATACCTCTATGCTACCAACTCCACAGTGGGGCTGTTCCTGCCAAGGAGATTAGAATCAGCTGTTCATACTTGCTTACCTACTCTCTCTTGCTCATAACATGTGTAATATATCCTGGTTAAGAGTAGGGACTTTGGAGTCCAGCCTCTGCCACTTATTTAAGAGTGTGGAGCAAACAACCTTTCTACACCTCAGTGTCCTCAGTCTGTGAAATTGGGATACTAGTAGCATATGATTGCTTCAAGGATTATATAAAAATCACGCAAGTAGAGAATTTAGCACAGTATCTGGCACATAATAGGTATTTTTAAAATGTTAGCTGTAATAAATAACCCTTCAATTGCTGTTAGGATAAAGACTAAAATCTCTACCCTGAAAAGCCTGAGTGTGATTTAGCTGCTACTGCCTCATCCTCACCTTGTGCTGCTTTGTCCTTCTGTCTTCTACTTTGGGTTTCTTTTCATCAGTACCAGTCAAATTTATTAATTGATTAGTATCAAAACAAAGCAGGGTGCATTTTATATTTTTCACCTTGTTGCTTCCTCACAAATATTTATGAGCATCTCCTGTCAGGCAGACCCAGGGACTGGTGCTCTGACAGTCCAGGCCTCTGCCCACCTGGAGCTCTAAATGGGGGACATGCCTGGTTAACCCCTCCTCATCCTTTCTACCCCAGCTCAACTGCCATTTCCTAGATGAAGCCTACACCAACAGATTTCTCACAGGGATCTGTGTTTTTCTATGGCACTAAGTGCTGTTTGAAATTACAGATTTGGTGATTATTCCCATTATGTGTGTAAACTCCATGACAATGAGAAGGGGGTCTGTTTTGTTTTTAAATTTATCTTTATTGCTCAAAGTATTACAGATGTGCCCCCTTTTCCCCCCATTGATCTCCTCCACCCCACATCGGCCCCCCTCAGGCCTTCACCACATTATTGTCTGTGTCCATGGGTTATGCATACATGCATATAAGTTCTTTGATTACTCTCTCCCCACCCACTCCTGAACCCCTGGCTTCCCAAGAAGGTGGTCTGTTTTGCTCAACCTTTGTTGCTGAGTGCCTGACACACAGAAGGTGCTTAAGAATGAGAGGGAGAGAGAAGAGAGAAAGGAAAGGAGATGGGATGAAAGAAAGAATAAATAAAACAATGGAAGAAGGAAGTAAGGAGATGAGAAACCCTGGAGATCATGTGAAATCAATGAAAAGAGCTACTGCTTTGTTTTAGTCACAAGCATTAATAAAATTGAGAGCCCTTTACTAACAGGGAGCTCATCACCATCCTGTTCTGAAAGGAATATGATTTCTGATTCCATACATTAGTGCCCTTAGGGTAAAATAAACCAGGAGAAGTTACTGGTTTATTTCATATTTAACATTAATGAAACTTGTTGAATGTGAAATGTTGTAAAACACATAGGAAAAATCTAATCACTGCCTGAAAGGCTCCAGATTTCTCAGCCCAAGTAACATTAAGGCAGTAGTCCTATGAGGAAAGGTTGGGCTTGGATAAAGTAGTGTTTTCAATTCGAATATAACAACTCCAGGTCTTATCAGTCTGCCATCAATGAGAGAATTCTAGTTAGTAAGAGAAAGCATTTGTACTGCAAGAAGCTGTTGATTTGGAAGGAGAAAAGAGGAAAATGATACTGGGTATATTGAAGAGCAAAAGTGAAGGTATGGGGATACTTAGAAGAAAGCTCCTAAGCTGTGAGTCTTAAGAGTACCTTCTATGTGATGACAGGCCAAGCAGAAAGAAATCTAGGCCAGATATCTCTAAAATTGTACCAATCCGTAATGGCTTCAGAAGCATCTCAGCCTCAGAAGCAAGCTAGCTGTAGTGGATCTGAAATAAGTACTGTGAGATTCCACTCAATTTTAGGCTTCTTGTAATTTGTTTTTGTTTCTCTGTTTTTCTCTCCTGGTACTTAATTAAATCTTTTGTTGATCCCAATAAAGTAGTGAGGGATGGAAAAATGCATAGGCTACAAGGAAGACACTGAAGGAGACAATATAACTTACTGTGACAGGCACTCTTCTAATATTTACATCTCATAACAATTCTAATGAGGCAGGTACTGTTCTTTTCCTGTTTTACAAATGAAACTAACATGTAATTCACACATCAGATCAGTAATGGAACTGGGACTTGAGCCTGGGTCTGAGCTTCAAATGCATGCTCCTTCTTACGAGTCAAAGAATTAATACTTCACACTCCCTGAAATGATTAATGAAGTTTGGTTTGTATTCTTGCATACCTTTTTCTATGAACTTGTACACACACACAAACACACATTTTACTTGAAACGGAGATTTTTTTTCTCTTAAAAGTTGTCATGGTGCCCAGCTGGGGTGGCTCAGCGGTTAAGCATCGACCTATGATCCCGGAGATGGAGGTTTGATTCCTGGTCAGGGCACATGCCATGGCTGCGAGCTAGATCCCCATGGGGGGGTGTGCAGGAGGCAGCCCATCAATGACTCATCATTGATGTCTCTATTTTTCTCCCTCTCTTCCTCTCTCTGAAATCAACAAAGATATATACATATATTTTTAAAAATTGTCATGGCCATTTCTCCAGAACACTATGTAGGATAGAAATCATTCTTATTTTTTTATTGTAGTAAAATAAACATAACACAAAATTTATGATTTAAACCATTTTTAAGTTTACAGTTTTGTGGCATTAAGTATACTCACATTGTTTTGCAAAATCATTATTTTTAATAACACTAAAATATGCTACAGTGTAACTCTACCATACCATTCATACAGCTGTTGCCTACTCTTTGAAATTCAGGCTGTTTCTCGTTTTTGCCCTACAGATGCTGATGAAACTAACATCTTTGTGTTATTAAACTCAAGGGGTTCACTGCTTGGGATGTTCTATACAAGAATAAGATGTAGTTGTTAAGGAATTCACATCCAAAGTTTTGCCACCCTGAAGGGAGGCTTAGCCATTGCTTATATATGCTATTTGGTCCATTACAAGTTGACTCCTTTGCAGTTGGCTACACTTAACGGGCTGAGTTCCTGTCAAGCTCATCCTATTAAAGCTGCATTTGCAAGATACTGTGCTACATTTAACATTTTAGTAAGATAGCATTTAGTAAGAACTGCCCAGGCCTTGAGACCCTGCCCTATCTAACAATTCCACCTAAGATTTTTTCACTTTTTTTTTTTTTTTCCTTCTTTTAAATCCTCACCGGAAGATATTTTTTCCATTGCTTTTCAGAGAGAGTGGAAGGGAGAGAGAGACAGAGAGAAACATCCATGTGAGAGACACATCAATTGGTTGTCTCCTACACACGCCCCAACCAGGCCAGGGATGGAGCCTGCAACCGAGGTACATGCCCTTGGCCGGAATCAAACTCAGGATCCTTCAGTCCATGGGTCGACTCTCTAACCACTGAGCCAAATGGGCTAGGGCTCATTCTTCATTCTTGAGAGAATGGGGACATGGGTCATACTTTTGTAACTGCTTCCTGCTAAGCAGAGACAGAGTACCTCTTTGAGTTAGAGGAGTGAAATTCTCTGGCTGCCAGACTTACAAAAGTCTTGGGGTCCCCTAGGTTCTGGGACTTCTGAGAACAGGAGTACATAATAGTAAGTGGGTATCACTTGTCTTTTGAAGAGCAGCTTGAGGCCAAACTGGTTTGCAAGAGTGCTGTGGATCTATTTCCTTCTCGCTGCGTGGTATAGCTGGCTTCACTTGAGAAAGCTGTATCTCATCCAGGGAGCTATATCTTGTAGTTTAAGAGAAGAATGAGTTGTTAATAATACCAAATGAGGACCTGTCTATATTGGATTCAGTTGATCTTGCGGGGATCCTGATTTCCAGGTTTTTATTTATTAATTTTAAATCCTCACTGAGGATATGCTTTTTATTTTTATTTATTTATTTACTTATTTATTTAATCCTAACCTGAAGATATTTTTTCCATTGCTTTTTCAGAGAGAGTGGAAGGGGGGAGAGAGAGAGAGAGAAACATCAATCTGAGAGAGACACATTGATTAGTTGCCTCCTGCACTCTCCCCAACCAGGCTGAACCTGCAACTGAGGTACATGCCTTTGGCTGAATCGAACCTAGGACCCTTCAGTCCACAGGCCAAAGCTCTAACCACTGAGCCAAAATGGCTAGGGTGGATATGCTTTTCATTGATTTTTTTAAAATTTTTTTTTTGAGAGAGAGTGGGTGGTGCGGAGAGAAACACTGACCAGTTGCTTCCCCCACGTGCCCTGACCAGGGATCCAACCTGCAACATGGCTATGTGCTCTGACTGGGAATCAAACCTGCAATCTTTTGGTGCACAAACGATGCTCCAGGGGACTGAGCCACACCAGCCAGGGCTCCAGGTTTTAAAATATACCGAGTTCCCTGTATCATATGGGTGTATCTGTTGGTGTTGGTAAAATAAGATTAGATTTAAGTTTTCAGTTACCTTTCCTAATTGGATAATATGTTTAACAGCCTGTTCTATTAATGGACCTGGGCATTCTAAAATTTGGGAGGAGCCCCGAAAGGGTCTATCATACATAAGTCCAAAAGGACTTAATTTAAGCATTCCTTTAGGTGCTGCCCCGAGCTGGGTGAAGGCAATTAGTAGTAATTTAAGCCAGGTGTCATGATTTCCTGGCACAGTTTGACCAGCATCTTTTTGAGCATTTTTTTGTGAGGACTGTGGTCTCCATGAGGAATGTAAGGCCCACCTACTTTGCAGAGCTCACACTACTCTTTATCACAGCCACTGTGAAAGCTGGCCCATTGTCATTTTGGAAGGTCCTGGGGAGTCCAAACCTAGGTATTATTTTTTTAAGCAGTGCCTTTACAATTTCATTGCTCCTTTTAGTTCAGCATGGGACAAGGCTTGAATGAGCAGATCACCTGAGGTCTATAGCCCACAGTTTCCATCTTTCACGGACTGTATCTCCTTTATCATCTGCCCCCAGTTTGGAAACATTAGGAGTGAAGCTCTGATTCTGAGCTCAAGAAGGTATAGGAAACAACTTTGGGCACAGGTTGAAATAAGAATGAAACAGTGGCTCAGCAGTTGAGCATCGACCTAGGATCCAGGCGATCGGGGTTCGATTCCTGGTCAGGGCACATGCTGAGGTTGAGGGCTCTATCCCCAATCAGGGGCGTGCAGGAGGCAGCCGATCGTTGACTGTCTTACCATTGATGTTTCTATCTCTCTCTCCCTCTCCCTTCCTCTCTCTAAAATCAATAAAGATATATTAAAAAAAAAAAAAAAGAATGAAACAGGGGGGAAAATTAAGGAGAATCAGCGATGCCATGAGTGGCCACTCACACATGGCACCACCCTGCCTCACCTCTTCTCCCCAGCCGCAAACACCCACACTGGTAGAGTCACCTCCTATTGCAGTTACAGGTCACTATCCCTCTCAACCCTTTTATCTTCTGGACTCCTAGAGAAGATAGACTGAAAAGGCCTCCCCGCGGCTTGTCCTCCATGTCCCAGGCAGGAATAGTCCCAGGATACCTGGTTTTATACCTTGGNGCTTGTCCCCCTGTTCCAGGCAGGTGGGACTGAGAGGCAGAGGACAGGTCCTGGATGCCTTGTTTAATAGTGTGACTAACATGCCACAATTCAGACCCAATCTGCTAAAAAGAGGTTGTGGGCGGTGTGGCCTCCCAGCACCTGTCTGCCTTCCAGCTCACACCTTAGCAGTGCCGTATTCTGTTCCTCAACTTCCATAACTGCCTCTGGCTGTGACAAATCACTGGGCTGCTCCACCTGGCTGCTTCCACAGCAGGGCAGGTGCCCGGGTCAGCCCATTCCACCACCAGTCAGCAGACTCCCAAAGCCATAGGGGCCTGTGCCCAGGCTGAGTGAGGGCCACTCCCCAAGGAGGGGACACAGTTTAGAAGCACCTAATCCTGCCTGTGGATGCAGAGAGCAAGTTCTCTCACCTCAACCTGCCCCACCCCCAGCCAACCCACAGCTTTGGAGGAAAAAGTGGGAACTAATAGACTGTTGCTCAGAAAAGCTGAGGTCTCAGGAGTTTTTTGGAGTTGATTGGGCTCTGGCAGGAAGGAGTACATGACTATGCATCTGCCCAGAGTCAGTGATCTCAAAATCATCCTTGTAGATGGATGGGGAACCAGTAAACTACTTAATTTTTTCATCACTCTACAAGCAGTTCATTTCCCTGTGTCATTTCCACCTTCCTCCCACACCACATGGCTGGGAAGCCCAACCTTTTGGCTTCTGTTACTCAAAACACATACATGTGGTTGACTCTACCTACATTTTTAAATCATAGCAGACTTTTCTCCTTTTTTGGCACCAATCCAATCAGGTAATCTTAGTTTTCTTTAGTTTTCAATACTCCTAGGGTATTTGGTCTGCGTTACCACACATTTAGTACAATTTTTGAAATCAGAACATCTCTTTATATCGGTGAGACTCTTTGAAGAGATGTAGCATGTAATTTTCCCCCCTTATCGTTCAGACAAAGGGAAGCAGTGGAAGTCATTAAAACAGCATACAAAATGTGCTTCATTTTTTTTTTTTTTTTTTGCTCATCGATTAAAACCAGTAATTCTTCCCACATCCCCCAAGCATATATCTTTATACTATTAGCCATAGACTGGCCCCCCGAGTCCTACAGGCAAACCTTTGCCGCTCAGTCTTGCTCATAGGTAACACATCTTCTCTTCTATCCCAGGTCACCTCTACTGGAAACCATGAGCTCCCTTGCTTGTGATCCTCAGCAGTGTCAGCCTGATGGGAACCTCATTGTTGTTCAGGGAACTGCAAGGCTTGGGTGCCATTCCTACTTCCCATCTTGAGTTCCAGCCTGGCTGTGAGTGCTCCAGAAAGTGCACTTCTTGGATGGAAGCAGGGTGGGGGTTGCAGGGGAGGAGCTTTTGAGTGTAAAGTAAATGCTCCCATCATGGGAATGCTGAACCCTAGGAAGCAAAGAAGCTGTACTTAGAAAACAGTGCCTCCTGAATCCACAATAGACTCCCAGCCTAAAGCAAGGCTGCCTCGGACAGGGCAGGCAGTTTCCTACAATTGACCATTTGTTATATTAATTTGTATAAGCACTTAATTTCTTTAAGTAAATAAACAGAGTTCTTTTTATCCAGTTCTGGAGGATCACCCAGGATTGAATTTGAGCTTCCCATAGCTATACATTTACATGTAAGACAAGGCAAATGCAAACATACACACAAAGAACAAAACCCACTTCCTGCAAGACAGAAACTTAGAGTCCTGCAAGACTGTGATCTCATAACGTTTAGCCCACCAAAAACACTATCGGTGACCCAGGGTTCCCTGACAACCAGACAATCAGACCAGAGACTGTCACCCGAAGATGTCTTGGATTGCCCTGCAGGCATTCCCCAACCCTCAAGTGAAACGAGGTGGGGCCCTAAATTGGTGTCACAGGACCAACCTGAAACCAAGCGAGCACCAGAAATTAAACTATGCTTCTGACAACCCTATATCAAGAACAGGAATAGAAATACTAATTAAAGCCACCACAGGGGCCGACCTACCCACCTCCCTTCAGAAGCACTGAACAAAGCAGATTCAGGTGGCCACTCTGCTTCACTGTCGAGGCAGGCCGAGCAGCCATTCCAGTGGTCAGTACCAAGTGGGAGTCTCCTATAGAACAGATCCCTCGTCCAGTGGAGACACCTGTAAGTCAGCCCTAGACGAGCTGCTGCCACTGACTGCTTCACCAAGGGTCCATACCAGACCAAGAGGGAGTCCCTTTAGGAGAGTTCCACCTGAGTCTCCAGATTTGTTAACGAATTCAAGGGGTTCACTGCTTAGGATATTCTATTCAAAAAAGAGACGTGGTTGTCAAAAGGTAGTTTTATTTACTTGCAGCAAGTAAAGGAGACCGGATTCACATCCAAAGCTCTGGTTCACTGAAGGGCGGCTTAGCCGTTGCTTATATACACTATTTGGCCGGTTACACATTGATTTACTTGCAGTTGGCTACACTTATCCTGTTGAGTTTCTGTCAGACTCATCCTGTTTAAAGCTGCATCTGCAAAACACTGTGCTACATTTTAACATTTAGCAAGATAGCATTTAGTGAGCACTGCCTAGACCTTGAGACAGTTGTCCTATCTAACATTTGTACTGTCAAAGTAACTCAAAAAAAATCTGAAGACTTTGTCTAGAAATAAATGACAAAGATTTATTCAAGGGACTAGGGTTTGCAACCAGAAACACAACTAGGCAATACCCAGAGTGTTCTGAGGGAGAAAGAAAAGGTAAGAGTTCTTACAGTAAGGAGTTCATGCTTCCCTTTCAGCCCTAATAATTGTGGGGAAGATCATAGGTCTTAGTACCCTCCCTCCTAGAGATCTGCTGCATCCTTGGAGCCCCTTGTGGAAGAGGTTGACTAATCCGGCTTGTCTATTTCTCCTTCCCTGGTTGCAGCAGCTGGTGGGGACTGAGGCAAAGCATCTCAGCAGCTCCAAGAGCAGAGTAGTCCTGGCTCCAGTGTCCCAAGGTCCTGGTGCCTGTCCGATGATAACCAGAGCCCAGCTCAGGTAGGACCCCCCACAAAGAACAGTGCTAGGGGTGCTAACTGAGAGTGCGTAGTGCAGGACTTGTGGCCAGGGGATCACAACACTCAAGTATTTCTCTGATCAGAAAATGTCTTCCCTCGAGCAGGAAAGAAATCCTCTCTGACTGCCAAGCGCTCTGTGTGCCAGCCAAGCAAGGATTTGATATCTACATGGGTGAGCCCTCTGAACTGTTCCTTTTACCATCCAAAACTTTTCTGATATCCTTGTTTTTAACTGTTGTGGTTTGCTGAATCAAAGCAGCTGAATTTGATACAAATTCAGTGTTTCCTTCAATAATTAACTCATCTTTCTGGACTTGAGGTACTGAACAAGCAGCACCTGACCTTGTCCAAACCCTGTGGTTGTATTTTTCACCCAAGAAATTTCAGATTTCAACAAGAAAACCATTCTCCTGAATAACAATATTAAGAGCGCATACACAGACCTTATCTTGTAATAGAAGCCCAATGTAATGCCCTTGATCATGTTCTGCACATTACTACAGATAGTGCAAATAATAGACAGTTCCTTTCTATTTCCCCACCATTTGTCAATTTGGAGCCTCTTTTTGTTTCCAAGAGACTGATTTCTACATTGATGTGATTGAAATTCCTCCACAGGATGCCTCTGGGGCCCTTCACAATAACTGTATGTCCCTTCAGAGTGATGTTGACATTTTTTAGAACATTGACAGTCATTGCTGAGGATGATCTTCATCTTCGTAGTAGATGCAGCAAAGATAAAGAGTATGTTCTTGCCCAGCTGGCGTGGCTCAGCAATTGAGCATCGACCTATGATCCAGTAGATCACGGTTCGATTCCCAGTCAGGGCATATGCCTGGGTTGCGGGCTTGATCCCCAGTGGGGAGGGTGCAGGAGGCAGCCGATCAGTGACTCTCTTCGTTGATGTTTCTCTTTCTCTCCCTCTCCCTTCCTCTCTCTGAAATCAGTATATATATGTTCTTAGCCTCTGGATTGGTCTGAGATGGTAATCCTCTAAGTGACCGGTGGTCCTCATAATGAATGTCAGGTGGTCTAGATATATGAACATTCTTTCCTTAGTTTTGGTGTTTATCCAGGCATTGATGCAGGACTGGAAAATTCAAAATTTTACCTTTCCAGGCAAGAATGGAATCATTTTCCCATGCCTCAACTTACTTGATTTTAGTAATTTATCGGTTTGACTAAAGTGACTCCGTTTTATTTCTTTATTCCATTCCTCAGTATACATACTTTTGTGAACCAATGTTTTTTTGTGTTTTGTTTTGTTCTTTTGGAAAAGATGTCCCGAAGTGGGATTGCTGAGACAAAGGATATGTGCACTTTGCATGCTAGTAGTTACAGCCAGATTACTTTCCAAATGGCTGTAAAAACTCACATTCCTACCCATAGGCAATGAGAGTATCATTTCCCAATTCTCTCACTAATTACACTCTTTATTTTTGTTACTATGACAAATGAAAAATGGTAAGAGAATATTTTTATACCCTTGGGAGACATTTGCAAGCAAGATGGAATATCCAAAATACACAATGAAAAAGATTGATAGACTTAACTACATAAAAATAAAAGATTACTGGCCCTGGTCAGTGTGGCTCAGTTGGAGCTTCATCCTGTACACCAAAAAGGTTGCAGGTGATTCCAGGTCAGGGCACATACCTAGGTTGCAGGTTTAATCCCCAGTAGAGGCCCATATGGGAGGCAACTGATGGATATTTCTCTCTCACATCAATGTTTCTCTCTCTCCATCTCTCTCTTTCTCTCCCTCCCCCCTCTCTAAAAAAATAAATAAATAAAAATAAAATATTAGTGTATAAGTAAAAGACAAACAATAGGAGAAAACATTTGCAGCACATATGACAAAGGGTTAATATCAATTAATAAGAAAATGACAAACAGCCCCATGAAAACTAGGAAAAGTGTGTAAGTGAGTAATTCACCAAGGAGGAAATGCAAATTGTCAGCAAACATATGAAAAGATGCTCAAGCTCATTGATAGGGAAATGAATTAGTTCATTTGTATGGTGAGTTTGTGAAAACAAA